GAAAATGAATTTAGGAAAACTTGATTATACCAGATATGGCGTAATTGGGTTCATAATACGGAAGACAATTTTCTAATAGGATAACTATTGCACAAAGTAGCAGAAGACAGATAGGACAAATTTAGGAAGCACTACTAATAATTTCACTCAGAAATTTTCAGCATCATCTCCCATACAAAAAATTTGCTATCGTAACAAAGTGTGATATTAAATTTAGTGAATTGCGCTAGCATTTGAAAAGCTGATCCCGTCCAATTCTTATTGGATTTCACGATATTGATGAAGTTAGTAAGCATGTAACTAATTTAGATCCATAATCTAAATAAAGTTCAATATAAATCGACTTTTTGTTTTCATATACTTCTTATAATAGTATTTCTTAATGTCTTGCTTTGTTTGTTTGTAGCCTCGTTGCTAGGCTTTAACCTTGATGTCTACAAGCGAAACCAAGGAGTTCCGGTCACTCGCTGTGGTAACGCTTTTTGCATGTAAATTCTCCTTATTTTTCAACAATTTCACTCTAAATTTCCTGCTTATTTCCAAGTATGTCTCTTATGCGCTTATTTTTGCTGAATATTCACTCTATCCTCATTCTTTTCAAACATGAGGCGCTGGCAACAGTTGCCCAAGCGCCTAGCCGCCATAGTCACGGTAGCGTTGGTGACAGTATCTTGTCAACTAAGGACATTTACCACATGCAACATGGTATTCCGCATTCTATAATACATGCTTTACAATTCATTAACAAAATGCACAATTACATGGGTCTGCATCTCTGCGAATTCGGTTTTTAAATGTCTAAACTGAGCCTTACTTTGTTATGTCATGTACTATGATTGGCTCATTAAATTATCTGTCCATGTCTTCTTTTCGATCTAATTGTAGGTTATTTAATAAAATATGCAAGGTGGGGGGCAAACAGCTACGGTCATCCAGGTTTCTAAAGGTCATACCGGCGGTCACACAATAATTCAGCAAAATGGCCAGCATGTCATAGTTGGAAAAATTGCTTCTGGCGGAAATGGGAATTCAAATGTCGATTCCAATATAGTTTCTCTACAAGGCGCCAATTCAGCCAACGGTACCGGCTTGCAAACCCTTTATCCGACGCACTATATTGAAGCAGCCTCTGAACAAACAGTCTATACTTCCCCAGGAAATGGCCAAATGTAATCTATCCCCTCAACAATTAAAAACAAATCGTATTGTCTTTACCTCTATTTCCTTTTTAGACAATACCAAGAATACACTCCCATACTTTATGCTCCGGTTTCCGCGTCACAGACGTATTACCAGAATGCAAATGG